CCCCCCCCCCCCCCCCCCCCCCCGCCCCAACCCCCGCCCCATCCCCCGCCAAACGCATTGTATCCACCACCACCATTGCCCACACATCCCTTGCACCGGCCCCGGCCCAAGATCCTCAAAAGGCCACCACCACTGCACACATCTCGTCTCGTCTGTTCTCCAGATACTACTGCTGTACGCCCTCGTGCCCCCCCCTAAACGCTCCTCCGCAGCACGCGCGCATTAGATCCTTTCATGTCTCTCCTTTGCCGCGTCGCCCACTGACGTGTTTTTGGGGGGGTATACTGGCAGCACCGTCATCGTGGTCGCCATGCGCGTAGAGACGTCGCCTGAACTACATAGTCGGCTTCTGCAGGTTGTGTTGAACGTTCCAAGGAAGGCCCTGTCGTCCTCCAGGGGGGGGCGTATCTGGACCGCCTCTGAGTCTTCTTCAACAGCTGGATTTTGGCGCGGTGATGAGGTCGCAGCGCCCAACCAACTGAAGCCGCAACGGCATCCACAAAATCTCCCAGTTTCTCCGACGAATAGGCCGAACGCTTGCTCGATCAAACTTGAACGCGTCTTTGTCGAGAGGCAGTCCCTTCCCAGGGTACGGAGTTAAAGGTCGCTCACCCATAGCCCTTGCTCCTACTCCCATGTATCAATGGCGTACCTCCTGTTGTTGTTCCGCCTGTCGGGTGGGTGCACTCATCATCCTCGCTCTGCGGAAAAAATAACGGTCCTAACCTCTGCCGTGCTGTGGATGGCATCCACCACCTGCCAGAAGACGCTCAAGACCGTCCCCTTGGACGCGCCGATCAGCGCGGCAACATCGATATACGAGGCACCGGCCATCATCCGCAAGCCGATAGCTACAGTACTAAGTCGGATCTTCGCCGGCACCGCACCGCCGTAATACACACGGAACTTCGGACTGTCGGAACAAATTTTTTAATTTTGGCAAGTTTGGCATGTAAAACGGCCCCTGAATGTACGCATATCATATGCATCTCTTTCGTCTAAACATCCTGTAATCAAAGCCGGGGCACATACCGAAAGAGGCCGGGGCTGTCCATCGGGGTTCTCGGTTCAGCATGCGTCCAGCCCTCGACCAACCCCTTACCGATTGCCCGCCATTACAGCAGTAGTGCAAGTATGCTGGTATAAGGTTGCATACTACTACTTCCGCACTGCTGCTTGTAGCCAAGGGCGTGCTGGTGCACTTCCGGCCTATGTACGTACCTGCGGAGTAACTTTTGTGGTGGGGTACGCCCCCACGGAAACTGTCCGCACCACCGCGGGCGGTGATGTTAACGCCAAGGACTCCTTCTGGACTGCTCTCGACGCAGCGATCCGGGAGGTTCACAGCCGTGACCATCTCGTGATGCTAATGGACGCCAACGCACGCACTGGCAGGAGGCGAGACGGGTGCTGTGATGCCAAGATTATGGGCGCGTACGGACGCGACATTATGAACAACAACGGGGAACGACTCCTTGGACTGGCATCAGACAACCAACTCTCCCTGGTCAACACCTACTTCCGGACACCGAAAGTTGGAGTGCAGCACACATTCCAGAGCTCCAACAAGGGGAAGGAGAAGTACCGCCTCGACTTCATCCTCATGCGTCAGACGGACCGGCGTTTCGTGCGTCATGTCTCCGTCAAACATGTCGACTTCAAGGACTCTGACCACAACCTCGTGCTTACGACTGTCCGCCTCCCCCCCCGTGTCGCACCCAACCGACGAGTGCGGGGGAACAGCGGAAGCAGCCGGATCCGTACCGACCTCGAGCAGTTAAAGAAGGACAAACAACTACGGACCGCCTTCCAAGACAGGGCCTCCAGCCGCCCTCCGCTCACGGCGCTCAGGCGGCCAACGGGAGAGACCGCCGCCGAGCTGACGGATATGGTAATTTCGGCCGCTGCCGAGACCGCGCCGCTGGCAAGGTGCGCACGAGGGCAGAGAGGCTGGTACACGAGCGAAGCGCAGCACGAGATCTCTGAAGCGTCTAAAGAGATTAGGGCGGCCCAGCAGCAACTGCGTGGAGCCTCAAAAGAATAGCGCTTTCGAGGCGACCCTGAAGGCGATGCTCAAGGCGGCGCGAAAGAAGCGCAGCATCGCGAGGTGGAGAGCGCTGGAAACGTTCTTCGAGGGCTATGTACCGCAGCTCGAGAAGAAGAGCCGCGAGGGGAATCACGCGGGTTTCTACAGGCACCTGAAGATGATCGACATCGAAGGTAAGAGGTTGTTCACCTCTCAGAACATCAAGAACGAGGACGGCAAGGTCCTTCGGGACCCCACGTTTATTCGCCAACGGTGGGCGCGGTGGTTCCACAAGCTTCTCAACACCAAGCCGCCGACCATCGACCTGCATGCGGCTGACAAGGTCAAGCGGTGGCCCACGTGCGTGCCACTCGACGACATCCCATCTCTATTCGAGGTTGAGGAAGCGGTACTGGAAATGGCCGACAGAAAGGCCGTCGGACCGGACGATCTGCCGGCTGAGCTGATCAAGCTTTTCCTGGACGGAGATCAAGGCCTCCTCCGCGAATTCCACGCCATCGTCGTGGACGTGTGGCAGACGGGGGACGTACCACAGCAGTGGAAGGATGCCACCATCAAAGTGCTGTTCAAGAAGGGGGATACGATGGAGTGCGGCAACTACAGGGGCATCTCTCTCGTCGCACACGCCGGCAAGGTGCTGCTTAAGGTCGTCGCCACACGACTGAGCCACTACTGCGAGCGAGAGGGCATCCTCCCGGAGGAGCAGAGCGGTTTCCGCCCTCACCGGTCGACGCTCGACATGCTGTTCGCGATCTAGCGGCTCCATGAGCTCGCGAGGAAGAAGAGTACCGCGGTCTTCGCGTGCTTCGTCGACCTCACCAAGGCGTACGATTCGGTGGACCGAGACCTACTGTGGGACGTGCTCCGACGCTTCGGCGTGCCCCCGAAGATGCTGGCGGTCATTCGCCACTTCCACGAGGGCATGAGGGCGCGCGTCCGAACGGACGACGGGCAGTATTCGGAATGGGTCGACGTGGGCCAAGGCCTCCGACAGGGATGCAACCTGGCCCCGCTGCTGTTCAACTTGTTTTTTGCCGCGATGCTCATGGTCGCCGTGGCCGAGTTCGACAAGGACCCCAAGGTAACGGCGGACATGGTCAAGATCGGGACACAAGTGGAGTACACGGGCAAGAAGGGCAGGTCGGCGGGGAAGAAGACGACGGCGGTGACGGACGTGGAGGCCATGTGGGCCATGCTCTACGCTGACGACGCGGCCATCGTGTCGCGCTCGCCGGAGAGTCTCAAGAGATGATGTCGGTCATCGAAGCGTGAGCGGCCTGTTCGGACTGATGGTATCGGAGCCAAAGACGGAGATTATGCGCATGCTGCCGAAAGGGATCGAGGAAAGCCCGTTCACGGTCAGCGCCGCCGGCCAGACGTACAAGCAGACAGACCGGTTTGTGTACCTCGGACGTACCATCTGCGCGGACAGGAAGGCCGGCCGGGAGATCACGAGCCGCAGCTGCCGAGCGTGGAAGTGCTACCGCCGGAACAGCGCTTCGATGTACAGGCGACACGCCAATCGCCAGCTCAAGATCCGGCTACTCCAGGCTGAAGTGGTGGAGACTCTCCTATACGGGTGTGCCTCGTGGAGCCTAAGAGCGGAGCACTACACGAAGCTCAATGGGGCCCACCGCCAGTTCCTGACACGGTGCATCGGCTGGAGCAGGTGGAAACGCTCAGACCGCCCCCTGTCCTATGCCCAGGCCCTCATCCAGGCCGGCTGCGAGGAAACCATCGAGGCCACCGTGCGCAAACGGATACTGTGTTTCGCGGGCTTCGTCATGCGCATGGAGGGCAACCGCCTCCCCAAGCGCATGCTGGTAGGAGCGATGGCGGGGGGCGTGGGATACCGGGGCGGGCAGGAGAGCGACTGGGTGTCTCGTCTAGGAGAGGACCTCGTGGCGTTCAACATGGGAGACGAAAAGGAAGGGGGGGAATGGAAAGAGAGCGCCAAGGACCCAGAGGCGTGGTACAGCAAGGTCGAGGACGGGGCGGCATGGTTCATGAGGAAATGGCACAGACAGGAGGCGGAAGCGTCCGCGAAGCGCCAGCGCGCGAGGGAAGCAGAAGCAGGAAGTACGGCCATCTCGGGACCGAGGAGAAAGAGAGTCGGGGAAGCGGCGGTGGGGGGGAAGAAACGGCGACCGGGCGCTGCTGCTGTAGAAGCGAGTAGGGCGCCAAGGCAGCACTTGTGACGAACTATGTGCCCGGCTGATGTCGTTGCGCCCTGTTCCCCTCCCTGCTGTATGCTATGCTCCTGTATGTCCGTTGTATTGCCTTCGGCGTCCGTGCTGTGGTTCTTTTTTTCATGTCCTCCCTGCCTACTACTCTGCCTTGTTGGGTACCTTGATCTCCCTTTTGCCGTTGCTTTTGCTTTTACATAGATGGCTGTCTGCCCATCTGCCGCCTCTTTGTTCTGTTGCCTCCATTACTCCCATGTTATATTTTGATCGTTTTCCTAGGGCGCTCCTTTTCTCGACCGGTCGGTGCGGTAGCTGTTCTTTTCTTTCTATCATTTTGTTTTCATTTTCCGAGTGGTTTGTACTCCATTTTTGTTTTGTTTCTCCGCGGCGTCGTATGTGCCGGGTTCTGCGACCACGGGCTCCCCATTTTTGTGGACTGTACAGCTAATGTGAGAGAAACAACAACAAACATTAACGCGCGGTGTATCGGCCGCTTTTTCTCTTCGTTTACACAACAGGAGTATATATGCATGTGTAGATATGTAGATCCTACCAGACCTCGTCTAGATTGATTGTACAACGTACCGCCCGGGGATCACGGCATTACGGCCCAAGCTATACATACTACATACCATACATACATACGTATTCGTTTGAATAGCATCTTCGGCGAATAATGCGAACGCGAATCGCCACACAGCTTGCCTGTCGGTGTACGTGGCAGCCCTGGTAGGTTTCAAACCTTCAAACGTTCGCAAGCCCCAACGCTCCATCTATAAACTGCTGCGGCCCACCGGCTAGGTGGTGGGGTATTCTACACCGGTATGGTTTGCTGTATAGATAGGCAGGACGAAGAGAACATGCCGTGTGCATCTATCTGTCTGTCTGTTTCTCCTTGAGATGGTGTGAAACACACATGAAAGAGAGAGAGATGATGGAATCCGTCGCAAATCCGGGGGGTGGGGGCATCCCAGTCCAAAAAAAAACGTCGGGCCATCAACTTTCGGTTGCCGTAAGAGTCAGCCTTTAAGGTCTGGATCCATGAACCACGGTGACAGCAAGCATGGCGTCGGGTCGGCTACATTCTAACCGTGGCGGACTGGTGGACACACACAGGCTCAAGGCCAACCACCACCGGAACTGTCATCAAAATCGTCTCTCACGTTTTTGGGCGTCCGTTTGTCCAGCAGTCGATTCCTCTCCGCCGCCAAGCACCGGGAGGCTGATGACGCACGACTTCCTCGCCTTGATGATACGCGTACCGACATCAACGAGACTCCGTGGGCTTGTACAGCAGTAGGTTAGTCCCTGATGTCCAGCGCAAGCTGTCAAGAACAATTCTGTTGTCTGCTGTCTGCCATTCGTACACTAATAGGTTGTTCTGCGGTCGACTCGGAAGCCAAGAGACGATTTTTTTTTTTTAAACGCGCGAAGAACCTCTAAAATCGGAAATTGCGGAGCTTCTTTTTTCAGGAACGGTGGAAATTTGGAGTAAACCACTGGGATTGACTAAAAGTAGTTGCCTATCGGCTGTGCGTGCATACATAAAACGAATTGTAATGAGTAGTCTGCATGACGGGTGACGAGGGACGAGGGAAAAGGGAAGACTGCATCGAGTGTACGTATCCTCGGCGATAGAACCAAAGGCAAGTATGAGAGGTGTGGCCAAATGAACAAAAAGAAAATCCTGTGTGTGGCCTTCCTCTCTTCTAGATGGGGTGTGTGTACAGCAGCAACGTTGGGCTTAAGACCGACAGCAGATAGATGTCAAACAGCAGTACAACAAAGAGAGGTCGGTGCGTATAGACTGGCACCAGAATGTCAGAGACGATCATCGCAGGGTTTGGGTTTATCTGCAGGAGCCAAGCAACTGAGATCCCGTGCTGGCACTATTGTGTGCCAAATATAGAGGTGGCGAAGTTTCTTGCTGCGCTGAGGCCGGCGGTCTAGTCTCGCAGAAAGTTGTTTACAGCAGTAGTGGTAGTGTAGCCGTTCAACACATGCCGTCAGGATACCGTATATGACACAAGATAACACACCCCCTGGCCCGATTTTCAAAGATCGATTACTCGACGACGAAGAGGATACATAAACGAAATGATACATTTTCCAAAAGCTCTCAACGAGACGGTTCCAACGCCGCCATTTTCGGCGCTGTGAGTCTTCCTGCTGTTGAGAAATCGATCTTTGAAAATCGGTCAAGGGGGTGTGTTATCTTGTGTCATATACGGTACATACTTCACCTACCGGAAATCATCACGCACACGATGGAACACGTCCTGTCCCGCAATGATGAACGGACGAACGGAACGGAAACACAAAAAAAATCCTGGAAGCAAGCTGGAACATAAAAAAGAAAATCAGTTGGTGAGAAGGACACCAGAGGGAAAGATGGGGAGATACACACACAGCGTGTCCGCCGTCTCATGGCGAAGAAACGAGTTGCCGTGGCGATACAAGCCAACCAACCCAAACAACGTAGACAACAACAGGTATACTGCACTTCTGCCCAACGAAACGCCGGCCACCTGGTCGTCTTTGGTAATTGGTCAAAGGGACAAATTGTCTGTGCACGAATGAGCCGGTCGAACGGCGTTTTTGTCTACAAAAATACTTGTACTGCTTTTCGAACTGGGGCGTCTTCCCCAGCCAACCAAGGCATATTTCCCCGCAGGTCGTTCTTCCCTTCCCTCGTATCTATGATATGAATCTACAACGCTAGCCCTGCTGCGGTCATGAAGCCCCCCCCGCGTGGGGCAGCAGCTGCACTGTTAAGCGCTTCATGCCGCCCCCCCTTCTCGACGGCGGCGGCGGCGGTGGCAGACCGGGCCGGTTCTTCCAGGATGGCACCACGGGTGCGAGATCGACCAGGTCCACCTATTCAGAGATCGACAGCAACAACGAAACATTGCGAAATTTCACAAAACTACCAGTAGACGTTTACAGGGGGGGGGGGGGGGGTACCACGGAGATCTGGAACGTTGTATGCATACACTTTCAGTAATTCTCCTCCAAATATTGCCGGACATGCTCCGTACTGCTGTAAGACGGGGAGAGGCCATGCTATGCCCTACAGCGAAAGCAGCTGAAGTACTTCGACGTTCAAAAACGGACAGCATAAAACGGCTCGATTCCGCTCCCGTTTGACTCAGCGCAAAACAGCAACACCGCTATCTATCTACAGCATCCTCACCACGTCCACGGCTCGCTTCCGCTTCTGGCCGGGCAAAGCCGCCCTTGCCCCACTAAGAACAAGCTTCGTCGCGCCTTCGTCGTCCAAGTCCCCTTCCAGCACAGCTTCCGGTTTTACCGACACCGCCTCCGCCTCCGCCTCCACCGGCGTTGGCGGCGATACGGTGGGGGTGGCGGCGTCTTCTTTCTTGACCGCGGGGCCTCCGGTCTTGGTTGCCTGTTGTTCGGTTGTGGTGGTGGTGGTGGAATCATGTTGTCAGTGGTGTGGGGGTCAGCTGTTGGTGATTGTGGTTGGGTACACTGGCGAAGGTATACTACCAGAAAGGGAAAGCATCGCTGGTGCTGTCGTTGGTTGGAGGTGCTACTTACTGCTGCTGCTCTTCCGTCTACTTTTCTGGGCAATGTCGTCGGTTCCTTTCATTGCCAGCATCACGCGGTTCTCCAAAGAACCGACAACGTCCGGCGTTCGAACAACATGTCGTAACGGACACACTCAAGGTGCGCCTAAGCATGCCATTGGAAAAAGGAACGGCGACCATCGCATGTCATACACAGAAGAGACATGCAAGCGTGAATGCCACCGCTACCCCGACTTCAATCCCGCCGCCACCACCACCAACAACAACGCAGACGCCTCCTCCTTTTCTCAACAGCGAGCGCCCTCTCCTCGTCAACACCTGAGCAATTTCTTTAAAACACCACTACCGTACCCCCCTCTGCAACCACAGCCCCCAAGCGGCCGTGTCTACACCCTCTTCGTGCCACACGGCAGCAAGCCGCAGCAGTGACCACCCCCCTTCCTCTCGCGCCCAGCAAACCCAATGTCAGGTAACACCAACCCCGCGCCTACCTCCTGAACACCACCACCACTAGCTGCAGCCGCTGTTGTCACCGCCGCCGCCGCCGCAGCAGCAGCAGCAGCAGCAGCTGCTGCTGCTGCTGCTACTGCTGCTGCTGCTGCTGCTGCTGCCTCCTTCGCTGCCCTGAGCTGCTCCGGCTTTGGCGCTGCGGCGGCGATTGCGGCGAGACGCTCCTTCTCGGCCC